AAAACCATCGTCTGTGCTACCAGAGGACGGCCACGAAGCGTGTGTGCACGCTGATACCACGCCTTGAAGCCATCGTAGAAGCGTTGGTCGAGAAACTCGATGATCGCGTCGTCGACCAAAGCCTGTCTGAATGGAATGCCGAGATACTTGACTGTCTGCGTGCTTTCGAATTTTCGATAGCCAGAAAGCATGGGACAGTCGTGGTTCCGATGAAGCGCCAGGAGTACTGGCTTAGACAACTTAAACGTTGCGCTGGAGACCCTGCAGTGGTCTTCCACGACCTCAAGGTGCGCCTGCAGGTTCGCGACCGAGCTCGCAAGCACAGTTGAGTGATCGGCAAAGAAAACTCTTCTGGCGGTGTGGTCTGCATTTAGCCACACCCCGTACTCCTCGTGGGATCTCAGCAGGTTGCCGAGAGGCTCGATCGTCAGGACCAAGGGAAGCGCAGACATCGAATTGTCTTGCTTCACGCATCGCCTGGGATGCAGTACATGCAGAGAGTTCCGGTTGATATGTGGATGTGCTTGTGGGTTCGTGTACATCAGCTTTATCCATCAAATAATGTGTGTCGACCGCCATTCACTCGGGCAGCCGGATCACTTAGTGCCAGTTGACTCCATTAAACGCCCTCTAGAAGTCCAGGAACATCGCGTACGCCTCTTCGTCGCGAGCTGTCACGAGGTCATGCACATCAGCGAGGAGCCATAGGCGGTGTTGAATCAACAGTCCTTTGATGAATCCATTCTGGTCCGCGTAAATTAGTCTGCGATGACATGCTGCAGACGATTTGTCAGTGTCTTCGTCAACACATTCACATCGACCTGAAAAAATCCATCGGTCGGTAGTAGTCTGCTCAGCCCTCGATTTTTCCTTGTGCAGAGGGACCACGGCAGACTTGCGCTGAGACGGGAGCAGAACCCCATGCAAAATTGGTCGTTAAACACGATGCTAAACGCTCGCCGAACACATCCGAAGCGGCCTAGTCGAAACCGAAGATGTCGCTTTTAGGTGCCGGAGCGCATTTGAAAGGTCGGCAGCTGTGATTGATGCGTCAAGCATCGTAAAAACAACTTCCAAGACAACGCGAGCGGTGGAGTCGAGAAGCTTACGCTGCATGGCTTCGTCAGGTGAAGGAGCCTCTTCCGTTGGACTATTGGGATTTCCCGTTTCAGACCCCTGGTGGTTCAGAAAGTAAAGCGAGATATCGTGAGCATTTGTCGAGACACTTTGACTTGGTGTCACGACTACCTCGACCGGAACTTGACGCAGACTCGTGTCCAGCGGACAATTGAAGTCTTTTAGTGGCCTTTTCGGTGTTGGTCGTTTGGAAGTCGACCGCGTGTCTTGGTTGTGCTGACTCACCCGCGTGACTGTTTCCTTGTAATTTCACTTTCCTTCATTGAAGTGTTCGCGACTCGAACTGTTACCTGCTGACCTGTATCGAGCAGCAGCTTAGTCGAGTGAGAGGCGAACGTCCTCAACAACTTGCGTGTCTTGCATTTAAAGCTTCTTCTGTATACCTTGCAGCTGTGCCTTGATGCTCATCCTCTACTTCTTTCATACCTTGACGAGATTCTCCGCGGCACGCAGTTGATTGCTAACCATCTCAGCTTTCTTCTCATCGCAGATATAACGTTCGGGTAGTCGAAAAAATACTGAGGGGGCTTTCACTAGCCTCAACCGTGTAGCTGTCTGTCCGACCGGAAGCTTACACAGCGAGCAAGGTGGTGCTCCAGTAGGAAGTACTTCAGTCGTTGTAGAGTCTCGAATAGCAGGATGTAGTCCAGTTAATTTGATCCGAGGCAGAGGACCGGTGAACACTCTGTTCTTGTCGAGGTGTATTCGCCATGCATCGACGACACCCAGCTTTGCTAGCCACCGAGACAGCTAGATCGACTCGGGTCATGCCTCAAATCAGGATGCAAAGTGTCGAGTTGAGGTCAAGAGAAGTGTTGAAGTCGCCCAACATGAAGCCTCACTATCCATGACTTAGCGCTCGCTCGCAAAATCATCGGTGAAGTTGAATGCCACGTTTGACAGATTTAAAAATTTCATTTAATCTTGCCTTGCGTAGTGACACAATTCAGACACAACCCGGAAGGTCGTTTCTTGCGCCTCTGCGTTGCTTCTTCTTCGGTTGCTTTTTCTTGTTCTTGCTGACAAGTAGCGCAGTCGTTTCTTGAATGTGCGTAAAATCTTTCTGCAGAACATCCTTTGCAATCACCTTGCTTACGAGGTCTGCAGGCTTGAACTCCTGTGCGGACATGCACAACGCTTGCACCAGGCTCTCATAGCTTACTGGCAAGAAACGTAGCATTGTTACATAGATGTCTTCTTCACTCGGCTCTTAACCCGCGTTCTATATCATCACGAGCTTCACCAACTCTGTCACGTGCTCGCTGAAGGAATCTGCTAGGAATTTGTATGTTGATAGCGCTTCCTTGAGCGACAAGCGATTTGCCGTATCGCGCGTCCTTTGGGATGCCTTAAACGTATCCCAAGCCTCTCTCGAGCTCGGTGCCGTCACTACGCGCATCAGCTGTGAATCGCTGAGGTTGAGCACAATTGACGTGTTCGCTTGCTGCTCCTTCACCTTTGACACTCAGTTCTCACCCTTGACTGCATCCCACAGTCCCTTTGACACCCGGTGCATCTTCATCTTGTAACCCCACCGAAAGTAGTTGGAGACGTCGAAAGACTTGATTTTGAACCTGGTTTCGTTCCTTGGGTTCATAACCAGGAGTTAAGTGAATTGTGTCGCTATCGAAGTAGTAAAATAATGAGTGAGTTAAACTAGCAAAGAAATGAGTAGTAAGTTATTGTTCCTTCGTCCCCATGTTTACAGTCATTACACAATATAATATTTGGTTAGTCTGCATCGAATAAAAAGCAATATAAAAAGACGATTGCGTGGAGGGGACTATTACAACGGAAATACAAGACTTAATGAACTCTTAACATCAGTTCACAAAAAATCTTGCAACTAACTTAACGAGTCCACGCCCAATCAATGAACCCCCCCATAAAACGACAAGTCCAATCTGCGATCTAGCTCAGCATTACAAATCACAAGTCATGATATGCAAAAATTCAGAACATACATTCAAAAATTTTGGCACATCACACTTCAACGTGTCAGACTCATTTCGACGGATCGATTGTACACAACGAGGCAAATTGCAAATTTGCAGATTGAGCCAGTCAAGTATCTCATCATTGTACACCCTAATTGAGACATTCCTTGCTAAACTCCACTGTTTTTCTCTTCAAGTTTTTTATGCAAAGCATCCATGTTATGTACGCCCGCTGGTTTTTCAGAATTACCTCGTCATAACAACTACGATGGATCTCAATGCTAAGGTAATTCCCATTGAGCTCCTTGATGCTAAAAGCATTCATTCACGCGCTCTTCTATATGCAATCTTTGTCTTTGTTTTGGTGAATATCATGAGGTCGCCTTCTTGACTGGTGAACGTGGACGCACGGATCTGCATTGATATGATATGCCTACTTAGCTTTTATTCCGTTGGCATGCTGCCTGTTTTGAGCTGCAGAGAGAATCTGCTGTAGTAAGAAATTTATCTCCGGGTATGCATTTTCTCAAAGCCATCAAGCCGATCCATATAACAATTTGCTTCCACATTACCATAGATGAATGTCGTATCCACAACCACATTCTCAGCTTCCATATCTTCTTCTGTGGTAATTGCCAGCATGGTATTGACGGACTGCCTCCGCGCAACTGGGCAAAAGTCTCTGTGTAGTCAATACCGTGACGCTGTGTAAAAAACTTTGCTACCGGTCGGGCATGGAGCTTCATGGTATTTTTGTTTGGATTGCGATTCTCAAACCCCTCACGCAGCCCACGTGAAACTTTGATGGTGTCGACGCGCCAACTTTCTTAGTCTTCGAAATCTTCGCAAACATCCACGTCTCGTGGCCTCTGAGTGATTTCATTTTCATTGCGTGAGGCCATTCATTCTTGTACTTGAATGTACATGACTTTATCGTGAACACAGCGCGCTCGCCATCGTCGCGATAATGCGAATTGTAGACATCTTCAAAACCATCTAGGTGAAATCTACTCGCCAAAAAACCCCGAACAATACTCTTGTTATTGGACCCATCTATACCATATTTTCCGTTTTTTTCCATTCCTGCCAGATATACTTTATCCACCAATCGGTACTGTGTGAGCTGGTCCGCTATGCTTTTGTTCATCAAGCGATTTCATTGTCTGTGCACGGCAGCCTTCATTGACACCAGTATCATCTGCGGTATTCTAGACATCTTTATCTTCGACAGTAGCAATCGCACCGTCTCTTTTATCTTTTGAAACCTTCCTCGACGGAGGGCTAAGGTTACACTTTTTGGGCTAACGATTGAACTATTAGGAGCATTAATTAGTTCGTATCCATTGAACTACTTTTCATATCAAAAAAAAGATTCACATTTCGCCCATATCATCTAACTTCTTGCGCTTTCCTTGGTTTTATCTGCGTAGCACTCACTTCCAAAAACTTGCATGCGGTCCAAATGCGACTTCCTCTTAAGCACTTCTTCGACTGGACTTGTGTGCGGATCGGAAATATTGGTGACACATTACGGATGCCAGCTGCTGTCACAATCGCCCCACACCATTAGGTCTTGTCTAAAATTTCTTTCCTTGAATATGCTACGTATCGTTCAGTTAGGGTCCGATTCATCTGCTCCGCCATGTCTGCCATTCTTTTGGGAATCGTACGGTACAGTAGATTCTTGCTTGATCAACTTGGCATCACAAGATGCACCCATTGCCGTATTGCATATATTTACCACCGTTATCACTTCACAACACCTTGATCTACACCCCAGCAATTATCTTGCTTCCTTGAGGTAATGTTTAACCGCGTCCTAATCTTTGTTCTTCTTTTGCAGCGATAACTTCGTCACGAAACGACTATTTATCATGGTAACAGCCAAGATATACTTGTATCCAGACGTTGATGCTGGTGTGATCGGTCCAAGTACATCTGAAACACCATGCTACCCGTGCGTCTGCTCTCCCTGGCTTCCATCTTATCCTTGCTTGATGAAATGCTTTTCACTCTTGATTGGCTGTTGCACGTATAGTACACACAGCACCACTTTTAACTGGTGTACAATTGATTCCTCGATTCGTGATCATGTCATTCAGCGTGGTGATTGATGCCTGTCCCAGTCCCCGATACCACAACCTGATGCGGTCTCCCCAACGTGGCACTTGCTACCTCCGTCAATGTTGAGACTCCTTGCTTCCGACTAGTTGCTACAGGAAATTTTCTCAATACACGCGCCGTTGCCGCTGCGAGTGTGAACAGATTCGTGTTCGAATCTTACACGTGCGGCGCTTTTGACAGACAAGTGTTAAAATACGAACGTCAAGTCCAAACTTTGTTCCGTCGCCGATAACTTTTAAATCAGCATCATTTTTTGCGTTTGATACCTTATGTGAGGTCTCGATCTCCTCAAACAATTTGCGCGACTTGCACATGTGTGCCGACGCTCAATAAATAGGTGAACGCTCATTAAAAAGACATTATTGTTCACTGTGAGGAAACTTACGTTGCTCAACAACATGAAGGGCAATGCGGATGGTTTGTCAACGAGTTGCTAAGCTACCCGCAATCATCGCCACGCCGTCATCTACATCTTGGAGCTGGACCACCTGCGAGTCATCATGATATTGACCATGAGCTTGCACAGGGCTTCGAGTTCTTCGAGCAAGTGACCCTGCCGCTACACCTGCTGCATGCAGCGCATACTGAGGCCCGACCGTTAAAGAAGAAAGAGCGTGTTGAGGTGCAGCAATCGCATGATGTGCGTGAAACTCCACTCGACTGGCTGATTTGTAAGATACTGGAGCCAATGATCATTGACAAAGATCGTTGGCGCATTGAACATAAATGCCAGCTCGAACATCCCTGAAGCCTTGGTCACTCGGGTCAGCTCTCGCATCGGCTTAAAGATGATAAGGCGCCTAGATGGAGCCATCATCTTTTTCCAGTGGGTGGCAAAAGTGAAGTCTTCACCAGCCGTGTCGCTGATAACACACAATTGAATGTGTGCAACTGCGCGAGATCAGCAATTTTGGCCCCGTTGCCCGCTATATTTAGCGACAGCGCGCTGTTGAAAACGAGCGGACACTCGATCGCCTTCTTCGTGATGTGGTCAGTGTTTGTGGCGTCCTCAAGCAGCTTGCACATCCTTTCGACTGTTATGCGAGACGATCAGGAAGGGAGTTAAAGGGCGCCGTTTTTTATCGTCGAGCATTGACTCGGTCATTTCCATGACTGGAACTGCCTTTGATACCTTCTTGGCCTTCACAGTGTCAGGACGCTTCATATTCACAGGGATGTTTCGGTGACGCACGCTTTACTTTGTGTGGGCTGTCACGTACTTCGATTCGAACGAGACCCTTATCGACTGAAGCGCATGTAGTTAGTTCTCGGTCGCGATAACATGAAGTAGCATCGGTTTCTGCTCTACCAGAAGAGCAGTGGAATCAATTTAGCTACAACCTCGTTTTCTTTTCTTGTTCGTGACGGTGATGAGTCCGCCCGTCAAGAGCAACAATTCCGCTCGAGCCGTTGATGGTCGATATTGAAAGTGCTTCGTCCCGGTTGCTTCGAGGGTTGCGAGTTGGTTCGCAGCAGATTGCTGACTATGCTGCACTCTGCTCTGGAGCTGACCATCCCGTTTCTTGATTATCTGGGCAGCCTTCTGGACCGAGGTTTGCATAGGCAGAGCTCTCGCCTTTCGCGTGTACGAATGTGAAGACGTTTGTTGATGCTGCAGCTAGGAAGCAGATTCACTGGGACACACTGGTTAAGTAACTTGTCGTCGGTCGTCCCATTGTCGATGCCGTGGTGCAAGTGGTAGCCGAGTGGCAGACGATCCAGCTGGAATAAAGTATTCTTGCCATGCGCCTGATGCAGCTCGTTTTCAAACAGGATCTGATCGCACACCGATCCATTCACCACCTAAGAGTTTGGGCATGCGCTGGTGAGGATGTATATGCGCCAGGCCGCAGGCGTAATTCGTCACAAAATTTATATTGCGGAATCTTTCGTACACCGGCTTGCGTCCAAAAAGAACAAACGGTGGAGGATCACGTCCGTGTCGATGTCCTATTCGACATTTGCGATATTGACGAAGTACATGCTACCAGGTACTTCAAACTACCAATGATGTTGACCATCGTGCGCTCTAGCTTCAAACAGGCTTCTTAGCCTTCACATTCATGCGCTGATTGCCACCGGGGTGCTTCGATACTTGCCCGATCGTGGACTCGTCGTACAGCTGCTTTGTAGTTTTGTTAACTCGGTTCTTGCCTACCAGCGAAGCAGTGATCATTTGAAGCGGATCTTTGGTAATTGTCCGACTGGTGTCGATCACCATGTCGTATTTGGCGCTCGAGAACTCATACAGTAGGGCCTGCCCCATGCGTCGAGATGAACGACCAGTCACCGTCAGCAGCGTACTGGCGCTCGATCGCTTCGATGTCGCGAGAGAGGAGCTTCGGAGCTTCGGGGTCTTTACACGACGACGCGCAGCTTTGACTTCCGCGTTATCGCGTCCAATCGTATCTTGCTGTCGCAACAAGCCCGCAATCGTCGGACTCGTGTCGACGTTTGGAGGAGAGGCAGCATTGATGGAAGGCTGTGTGGAATCCATCGACTCGTTGTCCAAATCAGCAGCAGCAACCGGGGGCGAGCTGACTGCAGTTGGGGTCACGTCTATTAGCTCGTCGTCGTGGTCGACCGCTTCAGCAGGTACAACGGTCGGCAGAGCGCAAAACGCAGACGTTGGAGGCCACAGGGAAATGGAGAATTCGAGTGAGTGGCTGGCGAAGACCCAGCTGGAGATTTAAAGCTGGCGTTGGGATCCGAGCATGATGGGTCGACCGTACCTCGACGGATACTGAGTGCAGAAGCCGAGCCAATCACAGCGCAAGGGGTTGGTCGGTGGGGATGGGTAGGCGAAAGCAGCTGGATTTATCATCTTCATGAGCAAAATGGGGAGCAAGAGCAGGACCAACGGGCTGGGGAAGGAAAGGTTCTTCGAAATACGTGACTTACGTAGTAGCCGGCGAATGGGAAAGTCATTATACATAGATCAGTTGGATTGGAATTATTCTCGTGTTAAAGGTTGTAGGTTCAATCCATACAAGGCAAATTTATCGATGAAAACCCAAAAAAAGATGTGGTAACGGGATTTGTGTCTGGTTCTTAGCCTCGATTTGCATCTTGCCACGTCGACTCGATAACCGCAGAAAAACTTGAAGCCCGATCTTTAGACCCGCCAAGCCAGGAGGTGGGCGTCGTCTCTCTCGTGAAGAAAACGCACAGGTATCGGTGGGAGAGGATCTGCCTGATGAGAGGAGAGAGGTAGTGGAGTGAAAGCGGGGAACCTCAAATCAGACTTGATGGAGTATATGCCAATTCGAACGCTCGAGCCGTTTTGGAGTAGACAGTCATGGAGATCGTGGTAGAGTATACAGCACCAAAGAATGCCAGGGGGGGAATTGGTAGCGAAGATGAGGCCGCAGATGACAATGAGTCGGATGACTTTGGCAAGGCGATGGAAGTAGACGCGAAATGATAAATGGAGCGAGAAAAGAGTACAGCATCCCTGGTCCTGTCGCATTTGGCCACTTTGATCACGTCAGGACCCAAGCATCACAGCACTTAACGCAATATCCTCGGTCGACATAATTAAATAGCGTATACCATAAGATTGACGAAGTTGATCTTTCGTATTCATATTATATTTCAGACGCCATTCCACTGAGCCAATCTGCGGCATTTGCTCAATGTTGCAATTCACAGAAGTAATATGCAAATTCTGAAACATACACTCACACGTCGCGACACAATCACTTCAAGCAGACTGATTGCCAGAGGCGCACGCGGTGATTTTGCTTAAACGTAGGGACGCGTAATGAATACGCGACATTGAGTACAAAAGGAGGCATGTTTTCCCTTGGGTAGTTCCAAACTCATTGAGGAAAAAAGATGATTATTCCATAAAGTGTAGCAGGACTGATAACAGCAACTCGATTTTGATCGACGACCACTGACCCGGCAATTTGGAAATCAGTTTTGGGTCAAAGAGATGTTTGTATCGTTTGCCAATTTTACCGTGTGGTGGTAAGAGACCCTCCACGGGTGTTGACCCGGATGAAGGTCCGCGGCATATCATTTATTTAGCTCTTAAAATAAAATATGCAAATGACATTGGTCTGACCAAAGGAGTAGTACGACGTCATGCCTCTTCCATTTGTGCAAACCTCGCAAATTTGGAGTACATGGTAGAACGATAGCCTCCCACCGAATGCTAATAGAGTTTTTAAATTTGAGAAGGGCGTTGAAGTATGGAAGAAGACGAAAGAGGATGGTTTAAATTAGTATTACAAAAGTAAAAGTGAGACAACTACAATTCTATACTGTCGCTCTAACAATACTGTAATTACACCGTCGTATGCTCTATAAAATTATTCTGTAGTTACTCTGCCGTAATCAAGTACAATAACCTGATAGACAACGAAGAGATCGTGCGTTCTGTTTAAGAACTTGCGAGTGGACTTTTGACCGTGTCTGTTGTGACCATCAAACACGAGCGGATAACCAATTTACTATATCCTCTCGGTTAAGCTGCGTTTCAGTTTTGCATGCAAGGTGGACAAACAGATGCAAAATCATCTCTAACACTCTTCTTTGTTATGCACGCCTGTGTAGCCCTCTACGCATTCATGTACAGTCCACCAATGAGCTTGCCATGCCTGTCTCCTGACTAGGCCATCTTCTTTCATCTCGCTCGTTGACTTTTAGTAAAAATCGATTGCTTTGCGCTTGTCGATGTGCTTTATTCACAAGCGATAAACGGGATCCTCGCCAAAACGATGCAGCCTTGATTGTTTTTGGTAGTTGACATATTACTGTCTTCAAGAAGACGCCTTAACTAAATTACTTCTTGAGTGACAAATCTCCCACAACAGGGATTGCTAAAATGTGTTAGTATACTCACGCTAATCGGACGCAAAGGTCTCCAAGTGGTCAAATTTCGGACGGCAAGCCTTGGACTAGACGATTTTACAATTTAGGTCGCGTTGATTGCAGTCGACTGCTTTTTTTCAAGGGAATGACACCGATCATGTACGTGTTTTGAAGGCATAAGGATTCCTTTTTGACCTTCATCGCGAACAACCATTTTCGCTGTACTTGGTCTTAAATATATCATGAGAATGGAAAGCGCGCTCGTCGTCGCCGCCATTTGCAATCGAGCAGAACAGCGATCCATGATTATCTTCATGTTATCTAATCAAAAATCCGTTTAGATATCATGAAGATAATTGTGGATCGCTGTTCTGGAAATTTGTCATCGTCGCTCAGAACGCGCGTACAGGTCGTACCATCCATTCTTCTTAGCCATCGCTCACAGGTGTACCTATCCGCGCCTGGTACTTAAAATATTTGGTCCATGGTGTACGTCTGACATAGAAAGGTACGGATGTATCGGTTGCTTTGCAAGCCTTAATCTGGTGTCGATACATCTTGGGACTTCAATAAGACCCAGGCTAGTATTAATTGTGAGCACCACTTCACATAACGGCCGTTAGGCCGCCATGGACAATCGCCAATGTCACAATTCTTGAAATGACTATATATCCATTACTTGGGTTGAGAAATCGATATACCTTGCTATTGCTAGACGCATCCTAGCAGGAAGCACTTAGCTCTGTGATAATATGTATTTCTGCACTTATGATAACTAACGTGAGCGTAGCGCTCAATTCCCTGCACCCATATGCGCTCGATATTTTGCCTTCACTGTAAGGCCTTTTCGAACGGTCTCATGGAATTATCAGTCGAGATCTCGGGCGTTGGCTATCTCCATCAAACTTTCGCGCCAGTGAGCCATGTCTTGTCCAATTTCCTTGACAACACACCCGTTCATAGTAGTATCCGAATCATTTGCCCAGCCATCTCGTTCTGCTCTGGGTCACGAGCTCTTTTTTGATAACCTTTGCTCGTGCAGAAGCTCCAAATCCTCAATGCGGTACTCCTCACCACTATCACCTTGGCATGTTTATCGGTAATTATCGTAGTGTCCTGATAAATCTCATAATTGCGCGTAAGATGTCACAATAACACACAGCGGCTCTTCATTATTATAAGTGTCGCCACGTGTTTAAACCCAGACATAAATACAGGTGTAATTGACCCAAGGAAGTCAGTACACACCCTTTAATCCAATTGATCACTCTCTTAGTTTTCTTGACCCGCGCACTGCAAATTCTTGTTCACTGAGCCGTGTGATCTATGACAATGCTATAAATCAGCATCCGCTGGGTGACATTCGTCTCCAATGCCTGCGTTGGATTATGTCAGCCAACCTTGTTCATGGCTAGTCGCTGGTCGCACATCACCGCGCTTTATGACACATTCATTGTGGCTAATTTTGTTCAGTCAATTCAAATGAAAGAAGCTCTTGCCTTACTTAACAAAAGAAACCGGTGACGAGCGACCGTCAAATTGCTAGCATTATGATCTGACGCGATTATTGGCACAACGACTCTTTTCGAGAGTATGCCGTGCGTCCGATGCAAATGGGGATCATCTCCAAGACGCGCTGCAAAACCAATCCGATCGGCATTGAGGTACCCCAATCAACTTATTTCAAATTGCTGCTTTGAGTAGAACATTCCTTAGCTAAAGAGGTATATTGGAGAGTATGTTTCATTCTTAAACAATACGCCATGCGTCTAAGCGGAATTTAAAGAGTAAGGTCATGATATAGCTTGAGTAAGCCGATAAAAAACACGTTTTCGTCCTCCCATGGATATTTCAGGCGTAGCGTATCTTGTTTTGGCTACGACAAAATGATTAATGTTGCGAGGGTGAGTTTTGTTGTTAAGAACCTCAGATATAGATTAGATTTATCGCCCATTTCCAATATGCATATGTTTCATCTATGTACCTTTGATATCTAGAAACAATGTTGCTTCTGTCTTAATATCCTGGATATTGGCCATAGCCCCGCACACTTTGCGCATAGCGCTTAAAAGTATGACAAAAACGCCGATTCTGCTACGAAGTGTAGCCGGAACGATATCAGGAAGTCAATGAGTATTAAAGCCAAAACCGAAACCACTTTGTGTATGAGCTAGACCTTTCATAAATTACGTTATGAAGCCTGCAGAGACGTGAACGACCTAATTTAACAGTGCACTATGAGCGGGAGCATGCCGCTTAACGCAAGTGATTTAAAAGATGATCTCTGTCCAGCATTTGACAAGTTGTAACTCATCGTCCATAAGGACATGAGTTCACCTTGACTAGTGTTTGCCAAATATTCGCTGTAACATTTGGATCTCGATTCGAGCAGGAAAGCCAAGTTGAAATAACTTTGTTAAAAAATAGAGTGGCTGATAAATGCCCCGCTGACAGAAGCGAAATGAGTCATTTTTCTTAGCAATTTAACTACAGCGCTGAAATTACCGACGTGTCTTTCGGGAGCCCTCAACTCAAATTCCTGCGAATGGAGTGTCAAGATTCTATCGTTTTCGGTAGACTGACCAATGACGCGACATATGCAGCGAGATTTCAGCTTGTTGACACGGCTGCACGTGCGCGCAACATTGCTTACTGGTTAAGTATACCGTGCAAACTAAGTTGTACGTCCTTTCTCTACCCAGTTGACCTATCGTGTACCTCAACACACTTCTGTTTTCAATGTCGCTCCATTACACGCTTTGTCAAGCGGTCTCGTGCCGTGATATAGCAAACTTAATATCAAGAAATGGTGCTGTAAGCAAGCTTACGCATCCTATTTTGCGCAACGCATTGTGTATTTTGATCGTATCGTCAATGTGCAATGTCACCTATGTAATGTCTGAAAAATCATAATCAGGCGACATAAAATTGAACTTGTCACCACCTTATAATGTTATTGCAACTGCATGTTCTCTTTTAGATGCATGAAAATCAGCATTTAGTCGTCTGGAATTTTAAGCGCAATAAACCCAGAAGATACACTGTAATGGCTCCGTGCTGTTGTTCAGTGGCTCGAACCCGCATCGAGCACAGTTCAACTTCGCGCAGCGATAAGGCTTCAGCATAGATCTTAAAGCCAGAACCAACGTTTCCAATCCTGCTAAAGATTTTATCGCTCATGGTTACGACAAAATCGTTACATAAAAATCGCAGTACGATTTCGACGGCGTAACCACGACATCGGTTGGAATACGGCGTAAAACCAGAAAGGCTGACCCATTTGCAATCCCATCCTGAGGCCTTCTTCTCCTGTTGGTCAGCAACCTTCATATATATCAAAATTCAATTCTGATAATCTTTAGACTTAATTGAAATAAAGTAGTTGGCGTCGAAAATTGTCATATTGCCATTCTCCGCAAAAGGTGTGATGACGACGTCGCCGTACCTGTAAGGACCACATTTTGCAATTGTCTGAGCAGGTAAACTTTCAACTCGATAAGAGTATATTTTATAACAAGTATGTTCTTTGACCAACACTACTGTCCCAGAGGAACGTACAAAAGTGTGTATGTCTGGCAAGCTATCAAACTGCAGTTTTGCAATATTATTTCCAACCTTAAAATTGAATTCGGCATTCACTGCCACAATTGCCGTTGCCGCCACGTCAAATTGAAATTATTAATTCGAGCGTGTAAACTTTCTTTTCAAGTTGTTTAGCCCGCGAGAATGGACCTGTAACAATGTCAACTCAACGTACAGCGCAAGACGAATGGGGTCTTTGTGTGGGTAACGAGGCTCGTTGCCAACGAGATGCCCCGGGTTCGACTAAATGCTTGGCGCAAAATCAAGCGGGCGTTCTCGGAGTCGTCTTGTACTTCGACGACTCCCAAGGTCGATCCCAATGCAGATCACCACGCTATCAACAGCTGCGGTGAACATTTGAGTGCGTTGACCGTAAGCAATTTCTGCTATTTTTAAGAAAAAGATCAAGTCGGCATAATAAAACTATGCCGACTTGGCACCGGCCTACACCAATCTTCGTAAATAGATAAGGTATGGGGAAGAACAAGCGGTCGAGGCCGTCAAAGTAAGACTTATAAATGCCCGATTTTGACCCATAAAGAATCCAATCAGCCATTCTACATCATATGTGATGCCGAATTTTACTGTCATGATGTGCGCTTTTGGTTATAACCAACCACGCCATTGTATTTTTGATGTTGCCAACTTGAAACGACAGAAAAATCGTAATACCGTCGATAAATTGGTCTTTGACTATGCTTCCTGGTGAAATTCCTTAAGATTTTACTTTATCAGAATCAAAGCCACAATCGTCTACATTTGCAAACAACCTGAACACATCATTCAGTTGTTAAGCATAAATCTCAATATCGATGTCACTTAACCACATGAGCACTTAATATTACCCATCATACAGCTCAAAATACTGGATGAATTACATCTTGTAATGCTGCTCCTGTGCAAATCCTTTCTGAAGATCAAATATGTGCTGGAATGGTGGCTACATTAGCTTATTATAAGCATGTTTCCTTTATCACTTGCCTTAGCCCATCGGGCGCAGTAAGTCGACATGGAGCCGGTAGACTTTGTTCTGACCAAAAGCTCTTTGTGTTTCGCGCGGAAAAACACCTCTGACGTCCATTCGGTGATCTCGCCGTCTTGCAGTTTCCTGCATAAAATAATTACGCGAGCGTTATATATAAGCATTTACGAAAATATTGAGTGGGGACTACTGCCTTATTGGAGTACCTCAGCCACTCATTCCACAAGAAGATACATTTCTCTGTCACATATTAGTAAAGCATACAGATTCTGGGTATTGCAGACTCAGTTATACCATCACGCCGCAAAGCTACGGTAGCCACGCTGCAACGAGTGTCTCCGCAGACAAAACACCATCGTATATTTATGTGCTGCTCGGAAGCATGGAGCTCTGCTCCCTCGTCCTCAGCAAAGCTGAGATCCATGGGCACAGACCCGCTCGACGAGCTGATGGAGTGTGCATTCCAACCAAGTCGTGCCGACTTGAAATTAAATTTGGTATTCAATGCAACATTCACCGCTTCTTCAAATAATGACGGATGCACACGGAAGACTTCCATTCTGATCACGCCAGAGCGGAGGCCTTCCATAAAGACGGTCACTCTGACCGCCTCCGGAAGGGGATCTGCTGCCATCCCGGCAATGAGAGTGCGCATCTCTTG